CTGGAATATTCAAAGGACTCTTTGTTGAACAATTGAATTTACTGTAGGCTTTGAAAGCCCAAACAGCGTACATGCCCAGGACTCAAGAGAACTCACAGACGGGTGACACAAACCATGGCTGGCGGTCTCTAAGAGCTCAGAGGGAATTGGAGACGTGCCAAGAGACTAGAGCCGAGTCAATATCATCTAATATCTTCTGGGGTGTTTTAGTATGTCTGAGAAATATTATTTTATTTTTTGGTGAGAACATTTCTGTTCTGTCAACAAATTTCAGTTATACCATACACTGTTAGCAACTAAAGTCACCATCTCATGGATTAGATCCTCAGATCTTATGCCCCTTATAACTAAAATTTATATCCCTTTACCGACCTCTTCCTGTTCTTTTCTGCCCTCCAGCTTAAGGCAACCACTTTTCTACTCTTTCTTTCTATGAGTTTGACTTTTTAAAAGAAGAGTCCACATATAAGTGATAACATACTCTGTTTGTCTTCCTCTGTCTTATTTAATTTAATGCCATCGAGTTCTATCCATGTTGTCCCAAATGGCAGAGTTTCCTTCTGTATTATGACTGAATAATATTTCATTGGGGGAGATATATATATATCTCATATGTGTGTGTGTGTGTGTGTCACATCTTTATCCATTCATCTAAGGAAGATGACAGAGACTTAGGCTACTTCCATGTCTTAGCTATTATGAATAATGTTGAAATGCACATGGGAGTGCTGATATCTCTTTGAGATAATGATTTCACTTCCTTTGGATATATACCCGGAAGTGGGACTGCTGGATCATACAGTAGTTCTATTTTAATTTTTCAAGGAACGTCCATACTGTTTCTCACAGGGGCCGCATAGTGGTTTTCACTGTGTGTAGTGGTTTTCACTTACATCTGTATCTTCAGGGTAAAAATGGTTAACAAAGACATGAAAAAATGTTCATCATCATTAGCCATTAGGGAGATTCAAATCAAAACCACATTGAGATACTACCTTACAACAGAATGGCCAAAATTAGCTCTTCTCTTTAAATTCACTTTTGACATAAAATCCCTTTTCATTCCCCAAGATTCAGGTCAACCAGCCTTTCCTCACTGTTATGTTCTGGAATACCCGCCAACAGTGCTCAAGGACTCCCTTTTCTTCATATCCTCTCTGACACTTGTTACCTTTTGTCACTTTGATGACAGCCTAACAAGTGTGAGGTTATGTCTCATTGTGGTTTTGATTTGCATTTACCTGATGATTAGTGATACGGAGCATCTTTTTATGTATCTGTTGTCCATCTGTGTTTTTGGAAAAAGGTCTACTCAGTCCCTTAGCCTATTTTTTAAATCAGATTGGTTGTTTTTTTTTTTTTTGTTTTGTTTTGTTTTCCTGCTTTTGAGTTGTGTGAGTTCTTTATGTATTTTGGATATTAACCTCTTATCAGATATGTGATTTGCGAATATTTCCTCCCATTTAATAATTGCCTTTTTGTTTTGTTGATGGTTTCCTTTGCTGTGCAGAAGCTTGTTAGTTTGATGTATTCCCGCTTACTTATTTTTCCTGTTGTTGCCTTTGCTTTTGGTGTCAAATTCAAAAAATCGTTACCAAGACCAGTGTTGAGGTGTTTATCTCTGTTTTCTTCTAGAAGTCTTACGGTTTCAGATCTTATGCTCAACTCTTTAATCCATTTTGAGTAGGTTATTGCGTATGATGTAAGATAGAGGTCTGGTTACATTGTTCTGCATGTGGATATCCAGTTTTCCCAGCATCAGTTAAAAAGACTATCCTTTCCCCATTATATATTCTTGGTTTCTTTGTTGTAAATTGATTAAGTATATAAGCCTGAGGCTCTCTAATCTGGTCCATTCTATGTGTCTGTTTTTATGACAGTACCATACTGTTTAATTACTGTAGCTTTGCAATGTAGTTTAAAATCAGAAAGTGTGATGCCTCCAACTTCGTTCTTCTTTCTCAAGATTTCTTTGCCTATTAGGAGTTTTGCAGTCCTATACACACTTCAGGATTGTTTTTTTTTTTTTTTTTTCCCGAAAAAGGTCATTGGAATTTAGATAGGAATGGCATTAAAACTGCAGATTGATTTGGGTATATGAGAGTTTAATATTAATTCTTCTAATCCATGAGCACGGGATATATTTACACTTATTTGTCTCATCCTCAGTTTTTTTTTCTTCAGTGTCTTACAGCTTTCAGAGAACAGATAACTGGTATCACCTCCTTGATTCTATTTATTCCTAAGTATTTTATTCTTTCTGATGCCATCTTAAATGGGATTGCTGTCTTCATTTCTCTTTCTAGTAGTTCGTTGTTGGTGTTTTAGAAACAGCTTATTTTTGCATGTCGATATTGTGTCTTGCAACTCTACAAAGTTGTTGGTTATAACAGTTTTTTGGTGGGGTCCTTTGGGGTTTTCTATATATAATATCATGTCGTCTGCAAACAGAGACAGTTTTGCTTCTTCCTTTCCAAGTTGGATGGCTTTTGTTTCTTTTTATTGCACGATTGCCCTGAGTAGGACTTCCAATGCTACCCTGAATAGGAGTGGTGAGAGTGAGCACCCTTGTCTTGTTTCTGGTCTTAGAGCTTTCAACGTTTCACCGTTGGCTATGATGTTGGCTGCGGGATTGTCACCTGTGGCCTCGCGGTGTTGAGGTGTGTTCCCTTTATACCCAGTTTGTTGCAAGTTTTTATCTGACAAAGTTTTCAAACATCTTAAAGTTTTCAAACATTATCTAGTATTTTTTAAGGGAATAAAATACAAATATAGAAAATTATAGTTCTATAGGGTTGGTACATTTGACCCTCAATAGAACTTGATAAGCAAATAAGTAGGTCCAAAATTTGAAGGAACATAGTTAAAAACCTTGTTGAAATTAAGATCTACTAAGGCTCGGATGTTGCCTCTGAGAACAAATAGGACAAATGGAAGCAAAAGGACATTGTAGTTACTGGGCTTTGTAGCTGTAAGTGTGGTTGAGAGATTCTGTATGAAAAGTGTTGGCAGTAAAGTGTGATGCTATTATTATAAGTATTGTAGAGATTAGATAAAACAGCAACGAAGAAAAATTACTAGGAGATTTTATCCCCAAATACAATATTAGTGGTTATATCTAGGGATCATTTTTCATTTCTGGTTTCCTTTTCTAAGTTTTAAAATTTCATATGATTAAGTCATACACAAATTATTATTTTTTGATTGACTTACTGGGTGTGGGGTGAGGGTCAAGCATCCATAGTTTAAAAAATCTTTTCAGGTGATTCTGATCAAGTGTTGAGGCCCTCCATGCCTGTGGGATATTCCAGAACATAACAGTGAGGAAAGGCTGGTTGACCTGATTCTTGGGGAATGAAAAGGGATTTTATGTCAAAAGTGAATTTAAAGAGAAGAGCTAATTTTGGCCATTCTAACTGTTGTAAGGTAGTATCTCATGTGGTTTTGATTTGAATCTCCCTAATGGCTAATGATGATGAACATTTTTTCATGTCTTTGTTAGCCATTTTTACCCTGAAGATACAGATGTAGTGAAAAGAAGGGCTATATGTATCCCAATGTTCATAGCAGCAACGGCCACAGTCGTCAAACTGTGGAAAGATACAAGATGCCCTTCAATAGATGAATGGATAAAGGAGATATGGTCCACATATACTATAGAGTATTATGCCTCCATCAGAAAGGATGAATACCCAACTTTTGTATCAACATGGACGGGACTGGAGGAGATTATACCGAGTGAAATAAGTCAAGCAGAAAGAGTCATTTATCATATGGTTTCACTTAACTTGTGGAGCATAAGGAATAGCATGGAGGACATTAGGAGAAGGAAAGGAAAAGTGAATTGGGGGAAATTGGAGAGGGAGATGAAGCATGAGAGACTGTGGACTCTGAGAAACAGACAGGGTTTTGGAAGGGAGGGCAGCGGGGGGATGGGTGAGCCTGGTGGTGGGTATTAAGGAGGGCATGTATTGCATGGAGCACTGGGTGTGGTGCATAAACAATGAATCTTAGAACACTGAAAAAATAAATTTAAATTAAAAAAAATAGAGAAAGAAGAGCTGGAGGGTTTCAAGTCAAGAAGCTAGGCCAGGGCCAGATTGATGTGGGAATTCACGAGGACTTCCGCATGGCGGGAGTGTGGAGGCTGTAGGGTGAAAGGAGGAGGTGTATAGGGTAGCGTGCAAGGGCAACCAAAGCCTGAGAGGCTGGAGCTCATGGGGAACTGAGAGTGTGTGGTCATCCAGAATCCAGCGCGACTGTGAGGGAGAGACCTGGGCACATCACCAGTGGTGGAGAGAGAGAAGATCACAGTGATGAGGACCTCTGGGCAAGGGTGTCAGCATTCTAAGGTCACAAAGCTTGACCACTGTGTATGCTGTGCTATCTCTGAGCAATAACACTTCTGGGATTTTTTGAGCCGTCATCTATGTATTTCTTTCCCTCAAATAATAGAAAGCATTTCCTTGTATTCACATCTCTTCAGTTATTTTACTTTTCCTCTCTATGCCTGGAGAATACTAAATAAGGAAAAAAAAACTGTTGTGACAAGAGAATGAGATTATATTTATATATATATATATATATATATACATACATACACACACATATGTATATATATTCATTATATGTATATTTTGTATTCACATGTATTTTTTTTTCTTATCATCAACAATCACCTTCCCCAGAGCACACACTGAGAATAAGCCTGTAAGCTTTGTGAGCACAGGACCAGGAGAATTCCCTGAGCCCGGTCTCCGAGTGTTCTGTTACGCTGTGTACGTGACACCGGTGAATGCAAATATGGCTGACAAGTGCAAGGAAGCCTGTCGCATCTCAGAGGGGTGCCCGTTCCCACCTTGCCATTCCTTGTCACATGTGCGTCCGGGGATGGACTTGCCCTTTGAGTCTTCTAATAGTTTCTCAGAATTGTGTAAAAGTGCAGTGGTCAGTTCTGTGGTGCCCTCCGTGTAGAAACGGTCTGCCTTTTATCCTCGCAGATCTCAGCTCATTTTCAAATACCTTGAAAAGATGCCGGAAGGAGAAAAAGGAATCCTCGGTGTTCAGCCAGCGGACAGAAGAGGCATCTGCCGTACAGTATTTCCAGGTCAGGAATGTTGCCCCCCACCCCACCCCCCCGGGGGGGGGAAGGAGTCGTTTCCAGGTGATGCACACCTGCAGACACACCTGTGGACACACCTGGGGAGGCTGGAGGGCAGAGAGGAGGCAATGGGCGTGGCCCTGGCCCTGGCCCTTCCCACCATGCGACACCCCCCCCCCCCCCGCCCCGAGCAGCAACCACAACAGCAGGCCCTGGGTTGCTCTCACTTCTCAAGTTGTCAGGACTTGGGGACAAGTGGTCGTATCTCTCTGAGCCTCAGTGTGTCATCTGGGGAATGAAATTCATCTGATATTTGTATGATTTAACTTGATTAGAGGATGTACGTGAAACATTTATCTTTATGCCTGTAACATAGCAAACTCTACCCGAGGCGGGGGCAGTTACAATGCTGAGACTTGTGACTTAGTGTTCACGGATTTGTGTGCACCCATCACCCAGCTGGCTTGCCTGATCAGGGTAACTGTCACCACTCCCTGCTGCCCCAGTCCTGCCCTCGTTGCACATCTCTGTCCAAGTCCTGTTTTTCTCTCTTGGCTCAGGAGACTCATTAGGGATGTCCCTTTTGTCTCTGGGCTCTTTCTCTCTCTTACCCCTGTTTCCCCTTGATCTGTGTTCTCTTATAGCCTCTGCTTTGAGAAGAGACCCTGGGCACCTATCTGGCCAGTATCTAGGCCTGGATCTATTGCACAGAGCAGCCTTTTGGGGTCTGGGGCCAGCTTACCGTTCTGGACGTTCCAAGTAGGGCAAACATGGACAGGTCCCTGCGCCTTTCGGAGCCTCGGCTGGCCTACACCTTAGGCTCAGCCCACCTTGACGCAGGCGGCCGCGAGAACCAGGTGCTCATCGAGGTGGTGCCTTGTGGGTTGTTGACTCTCTCTGTCCTTCTGTTTTCCTTACAGTTTTATGGCTGCATTTCCCAGCAACAGAACATGATGCAGGATTTTGTGAGGACAGCCACTTACCATAGAGCCATCCTCCAGAACCACACTGACTTCCGAGACAAGGTAATGCAGGCAGCGTGTTCTTAATCCCGAACCATTTTAAGAAGCCTTGTCAAAACCCAGAATCCAGATTACACTTGGATAGAATGACCATATGACCCAGCAATTCCACTCCTGGTTATATGTACCCAAGAATCGAAAGCAGGCATTCAAACAACTGTTTGTACCTGAATGTTTATAGCAGCACTATTCACGATTAGCCAGAAGCGGAAAGAACCCAAAATGCCTGTCAGCTGGTGAATGGATAAACACAGTGTGGTCTAGCCATACAGTGCAATATTGTGGGTGTCATTCATATTTATCTCATCCGTAAAAATAGTGCAGTGCTGGTACAGCCTTCAACATCCATGAACTTCCAGAATGTGCAAGTGAAACAAGTTACAGAAACTCGTGCATATGATTCCACTTACCTGAAACATCTAGAATAGGCAAATCCATAGAAAGGAAGAAGACTCCTGGTGAGTGGGGGCAGTCACCAGGGAGAGTCCACCAGGGGGGAGTTCACCGGGGGAGGAGGAAATGGGGAGTGGTGCTTCATGGGTGCAGGCTCTCCTTTTGGGCTGATAGAAATGTCTTGAAACTTGATACAGATAACAGTTACATAACCTGGTAAGCGTGCCAAATGACACTGAATTTTACAATGTAAAATGAGTAATGGTCAATTTTATATTACGTGAATTTTACCTCAATGGAGAGATTAAGCTTTGAGTGCCAGGAATGCAAGAGACTGAATGCACTAGGTCTGGGAGGCCTGAATGGGTTAGGACCTCTCTTGCTACATAATGAATAGCTCTTATCGAGTCTCTTCACTTCAGTTTTTTTTTTTTTTTCCCCCACGGACTCCACAAGTGCCTGCGTGATTTCCTTCACAAAATGGATCTGAACAATGAATGACTGCTAACACATTACCCAGGGTTGCCCATTATTCTCCCACCAGTTAAATAGCCCGAGTTCAAAATACTGTGTGGCTCCTCTCAGGAAGTGAGAACTTGGGGCTCCTGGGTGGCTTAGTTGGTTAAGCATCTGCCTTTGGATCAGGTCATGATCCCAGGGTCCTGGGATCGAGTCCCACATCAGGCTCCCTGCTCAGTGGGGGATCTTTTTTCCCTCTCTCCTTCCCCCTGCTCGTTCTCTTTCTGTCTGTGTCAAATAAATAAATAAAATCTTTTTTTAAGAAAAGGAGAAGAAGTGAGGACTGGTCGGTGGAATCCGTAGTCCTGGGATTTAGTTTTATGTTTTCACCCTGACACGCTGTGTGATCTAAGGCAAAACACTAACCCTGTCTGAGTCTCACCATCTCTTCCGCTGCCATAGAAACTGCAGACCATGGCCTTCGATATTTGTAGCACTAATTCCCTTGGAAGGGTGTGGTGTAACATGGAGATAATGATCCTAAAGACTCATGGCTCCCTGTGTCCGCGCCCATTTGCAAGGTTTTTTTTTTTTTTTAAAGATTTTATTTTTTTATTTGACACAGAGAGGGAGATCACAAATAGGCAAAGCAGCAGGCAGAGAGGGGGTGGGGGAAACAGGCTCCCCGCTGGGCAGAGAGCCCGATGCAGGGTAGATCCCAGGACCCTGAGATCATGACCCAAGCCGAAGGCAGAGGCCTAACCCACTGAGCCACCCAGACGTCCCGATTTGCAAAATCTTAATAGCTTCTCTTTCATCAAGAGATTGTGTAATTTTTTTTTTTTTTTTTGCCTTTATCTCGGTGCTATCCTTCTGATGTGCTTTCACCAAAACACTGTGACAGAGGTTAATGCTGTATGGATTTCAGACCCGAGGTCTTAAGGGGCCTTGTGGCTCCAGGCCTCACCCTCTTGGAACCCTGAGATTATCATAACATGAAGAAGCCCAGTCTAGCCTACCAGAGGTAGAAAGGTTGCTTAAAGAGAACTGAGACACACCAGTCAAAGCCCAGCACCAACTGCTACTCTTATGCATGGGGCCATCTTGGACCACCAGTCCAGCCATCCTTCCAGCTGAATGCAGAAACATGAATGTATGTAGGCAAGACCAGCAGAGAAGCTGTCCAGCCCTCCCATGGAAATGAGAGAAATTACAAAATGTTTCCAGGTTAGGGCACTAAATTTTGACGTGGTTTGTTATGCCTCAGTAGTTAATTAAAACAAAAAATGCAGGAAAAAGTAGTTATAAATGGTCACAGAGCTAGAAGTTGATTTGCCACTGGCTTTCTTTCCTCTGTCATCTCCATTCTGCTCTTGAGCCCTCAGAGGTGATGTCTTTTTTGGTTTGTTTGTTTGTTTGTTTGTATTGTATTTTTCAATTCCAAAATTTCCACCTGACTCTTGTTTATGTCATCTGTTTCTTGCCTGAGACTTTCCCTTTTACCCATTGGCTTCAGCAGTGTTCATGATTGCTGTTTGGAGCTTCTTACCATAGTTTGGTCAGATAATGCTCACATCTGTGTTATTGCTGTGTTAGCTTTAGTTGATTGTCCTTCCTGAGGGAACTGAAATTTTCCTGATTCTTCTTACGGCAAGGAATTTTGGGTTGTATTCTGTACATCTTGAATTTTTTTTTTTTGATGATTTAGTGCTTTTTTTTTTTAGTTTTTATTTTTTCAGCGTAACAGTATTCATTATTTTTGCACCACACCCAGTGCTCCATGCAATCCGTGCCCTCTCCAATACCCACCACCTGGATCCCCCAACCTCCCACCCTCGGCCCCTTCAAAACCCTCAGATTGTCTTGAATATTATGTTCTGAGATTCTAGGTCTTATTTAAAGCCTAGGGAGAATGTTGGGGTGCCTGGGTGGCTCAGTGGGTTAAAGCCTCTGCTTTCAGCTCAGGTCATGATCCCAGGGTCTTGGGATCGAGCCCCGCATTGGGCTCTCTGCTCAGCGGGGAGCCTGCTTCCTCCTCTCTCTCTGCCTGCCTCTCTGCCTACTTGTAATCTCTGTCTGTCAAATAAATAAATAAAATCTTAAAAATAAATAAGTAAATAAATAAATAAATAAAGCCTAGGGAGAATGTTGATATTTTTGTTGTTGTTTTCATTCAACTTGGTTACGTTATGGCCGCAAGTTCCACACCTCTAGGCGGCCTTCTGAGAGCTCTGGTTCTTATGTCAGCTAAGTTTTTTGAAGCCTTTGGCAATGCTATTTCAATCTGCATGTGTGTGTCACCCGGTGGTCGGGCTGGCACCCGGACAGAGTTCTCAAAGGACTGATAATGCAAATTAAGATCAGATTCATGCACGTACAGATAGATGGTGAGCCCAGGAATTTTTTTTTTTTTTTAAGAAAACTTCATGGAGCTGCTTTGCCAAGCTCCTTCCTCTCTATGGTTTCCCTGGTACTTTCTAATTCCCTGGGATCACTTGTCAGTCTCTGGCCACAAAGTTCACTCTGTCATGCATTTCTGTGACTTGGCCTACACTGGCCCAGCAAAAAGAGGACAACGAAAGAAAAAAGGCAGCGGGGGATGGTCTCAGGTTTTGGGGATGACACCACCACTGAATGCAGTGGTGGGTTCCCCTCCCTCATGGTTTTGGCTCGTGTAGACAGATCCTGTCACTACCATTAGATCACAGGGGGCTTGAACACAGAAGAGAAGAAAGGGGAGGAAAGGAAAGGAGGGAGAGGAGAGGGAAAAGGGAAAGAAAAAAGAAGAGGAAGGGAAAACCAGAGTATTTCCATAGTTGAGATTATAGTTTACTTTGTTGATGCTGGAACCCAAACGGTATCTCCAGGAGCTCTTTGGTCTGTACCCTGGTTCCCATTTCTGGTGTGTTGCTTTCAGACTATGGATGGGGTAGAGAATTCGGTTTGGTAGTATTTTGAATTCTGGTCTTTCCCAGTCTACCTGCTACTGTACACTTTTCAGAGCCCTCAAGTATCTGTTTCATGCATGTTGTCCAGATTTCATAGCTCTATTCAATGGGACAGACAGAGTGTGGCAGACTCTCTCCCACTGACCCAGGATCAGACGGTTGCCAGTAGCCAGACCTAGGTACTCTGGTGAGTGAGGACGATGGTAGGAAGCAAAGACAAGATAAGGAATGGTTGTGTTTGGCCACAAGGTCTCCTATTTCTTGTCTTATGTCTTGAGGTGCCCAGGACCCTTGCCTTGCCTGTGAGACCTGCCTGGTTAACAGATAGGAAGTAAACATTCCTAACAAGGAAGACCTGATTATGGCAGGTGTGCAGGATTAGGATAGAGGGGGAACACTTATTTCTTTTGACACTATAGTTGGTGTTCAGGATTGTGGGTAAGTAGTCTTAGTGACCAAAGGTATTTTTTGCTAATTAAAACAAACAAACAATAAGAACTCCAAAATATTGATCCCTTCTACACAGTTTGAAGCTATTTCCTGGAGGTAATACTTTTGTTTAGGGAAACTTCTCTGCCTCTAAAATTGCTTAGTTTTAATCTATAACCTATTTTCTATTACCTATAATCTATTTTCTATATTTCTATAATCTGCTTTTAATTCTGGGGTTATAGCATCTAAAGACTGCTTCCCAAACTACCAATCATATGAATAATTTGCATCGTAGGCCTTCACAGAATTTCACATGGATTATGCCACTTGACCATTTCATTTGTGTATCTTTTCATCTATAAAAATGAAGATACTGGACCATATCATCTTTAAGGTCACTCCTATCTATAACCTCATTTGATTTTGCAAAATATCCTTTTTCTGCCAGCCTGAAAGGGGTTTGTCTGCCAATGAAATAAAATAGGCTTCTATCTGTTGGGGTTTATGAAGGTGATAATTAATCACATGGCTGATAATTAATTATATCTCTTTCCCCCTCTGAGTTCTGAACCAATTTAGAAATAGACACAGATGTCAGGTAGAAATAATAGCAGCTTTATGGCTGTTAGTGCTGATTGGAGAACAGTGCTTGGACCTGTGGCCAAATAAAGCTTCTCATTTGTTTCCCCCACAGACTGAATTTTTCTACCCATTTGTATGCTGAACAGCCAGTCTCCCTGGATAAGCCCCGAGCCTGCCCCGCAAGTGCCC